GCGGACTGTATCTCGCGGTCTATAATAGGTAGACAGTTGAAATTTTTACTCTCGTGTTTCTATTGCCGCTATAACAACAAATAATAGGTTTAGGTTTAAAGAATTTATTCCCACAAAAAGATTACAAAATCCACTTACATGAGAACAATAATATAAATTTAATCTAGGTAACGGTCACCGTCGTCACAGTTCCATCGTGACACTCTCCGAAATTACAAGTCAGTAGCTTTCAAGAATGTAGTTTTGCAATTGAGACTTGAGTTTGTTAAAGGAATCTATATTTTTAATGAGAAGGTAGGCTGTTATAAACGTGTGCTCTCTCAAAGGTAATATTTTTTTTCCTAATTTGGTACGTGTCTTTGGCAATACGAGCAAGCTAGGTCGACGAAGACTGCGTTTGGATATTTGTGACTTTTTCGTAAAGGACAAACTAGTTTGGATGTTTTTACTCATGATCTTCCTTATTAGAATGCAAGTGCTATATAAATAAAGTTGTCGTATGTGCGTTATTTTTGTGTCATCAAAAATTTTACGAGTCGAATTTAAGTATGGGTAGGAGAAAAGTATTTTTATTGCTTTATTTTGAGCTCTTTGTAGTTCCTGCAATTTCGTTTTGGCGGCACTGCCCCATATTTCTATTAAATATAATATATGAGATTTGATAAATGAATTGTAGATATTGAAACGTAGTTCCCTAGGTGTACATTGATTTATGTTGCGGGGTGAACCTGTTAGCGACGATAATTTGCTTTTTATATATTCTATCTGTTTGTTCCATGTTAAATTACTATCCATTCTCAGACCAAGATATTTTTCACAAATTTTTTGTTTGAGTGGAATATTGTCAATTGTTAAAGGAGCATGCGAGGGAATTATTTTATTTTTCGATTGTTAACAGGTTGGACTGAAACCATTCAAACAATATGTTAAGGTCTTCTTGAGCTTTTGAGATGATTTTGTCCATATTAGTACCGAAATAGAATAGGGATGTATCGTCCGCGTACAAAGTTTAATGGCCATGTAGTCTTAAATCCGTTATATTGTTAACATAGATAAGGAAAAGAAGCGGCTCGAATATGGACCCTTGTGGGACACCATATGTAAGGGGTTGGATATTGCTTTGGTTATTATCTATTTTGACTATCTGTAATCTATTTGTTAGGTACGACTCAAATATTTTAAGGGCACTACCTTTGATACCAATGTGCTCTAACTTTTTCTAAAGTAACTGGTGACTTACGGTGTCAAAGGCTTTTTTCAGGTCGATGTAAATGCCTAGAATAATCCTTTTTTTATCCAGGTTTTCTTTTATGTATGTTGTTAAATCTACTATTGCTGCAGTTGTATTGCTTTTTGACCGAAAACCGTACTGACGTGGAGATATAGAGTTAAAGGAATCAAGGTAACTTGATAAACGGTTATGTATTGCTTTTTCTAGGATTTTCGACAATACTGGTAATACAGAAATAGGGCGATAGTTTCCTGGGTCAGTTGTGCGCCCAGATTTGTAAATTGGTGTTACTTTTGCAACCTTCAGTGTCTGGAAATTCGCCGTCAGTCTTAAGTTTGTTTATTGAATGTGCCAGGCCTTCAGAGATTAGATCTTGTAAACTTTTTAGGACTTTTGTGCTCATTTTGTCTATTCCATTACTAGTATTGGGATTTAGGTTGTGAATAATTTTATTTATTTCACATGGGGTAAAGGCAGACAGTATATGATCGTTTATTTTTTGTTGTATGAAATCAGGATTCAAGGTACTATCGTGATATTTGTTAGGTATTTTGTTTGCTAATAGAGAACCTTTAGTAGAAAAATAATAATAAAAAATAATAAAAATTAAAATAAATTAAAAATTAAAAGGGGCAACCCTGCTAGAAACGTGCATTACGATGGTAAGTTTTTTTTGAAATTTCAGTTTTAAGCTATTAAATATTTGTCAAAGTGAAAATATGTCGTATTCAACTATATTTTGTAAAGAACAACAACATAAAGAACAACAAACTGTAAATAATCCGGAATTGTTATTTAAGACCTAAGTCTTAGACAATATTTTGTATCATTTTAAGTGTATAAAAAATGAGTTTTTATCAGAAAAACTTGTAGTAATTACATTTTGTTAGTTATATTTCATATATTCCTCTGTAATAATAATGAAAATTAAGATTAATTCATGAAATATTATAAAAGTAAATGCATATTTTAATCAATTATGCTAGTAATACACCTCCTAATTTAGCTTTTCCGATAATATGCTAGTTTAAGAACACAAAGAAACACAAGTTATAGTTATTGTTATACCGATAACTGGGAACCCAATAAACATTCAAGGGCCAAAAAATAGGAAGAATAAGAAATACCCAAGGCTTTGTTCAAAACATTTCGATAAGCCCTGTTTTATTGCCAACTTATCGATTATGTTACGTAGTTTTGTAGTTCTAACAATTTTCCAAGAATGTCTAGTATACTATTAATCAGTGTATAGTGTTGGTGTAAGAATATTTACCATCCTATATCGTCCCGTGGGTGTCCGAAGAGGAAAACTGTAACGAGAGATGAGGAGCAGCATCCTTTTGATAACTCATCAATGTAATTCATTCACAGTCTCTTACCTCAAATAATGATGACAAAAAAAATCCCAGTAGCTACAATTCTAAGTCAAATACTGTTTGAAAATCTTTCAAGAGCATCTACCCATAACCAAATTCAGAAAGTTCATCAAGCCGTGATGTACAATTTTTTCATTATGTTACTAAGGATTGAAAACCTTGCGATAAACACCTTTTTGGCAGAATGTGCAAACCAGAGATGGAAATGTAATTAACCTACTGTCAGGTATAACACTAGAAGCTAAATCTGTCATGTGTGAATTGGAAGCCTTCCTGGCACTCATATTGCGCTGAAAAATTATTCCATATTTTCTAACGCACCTGTAGTGCCGTAAAAAAACATGCGTGAGTGTCGTGAAACACTCGGTTGGAACGAAGTTTCTCTCGTTGTATAAGTATTATTTATTGATAAACTTATTATATTATTGGTTAAGAAATACAAAAAAATAACTATCGTCTGAGACTAATTATTACAGATTATATCGTGTTTAATATTAACTTTTTTAATTCCCGACGTTTCAGGTGCTTTACAGCACTCATAATCACGAGGGTACTGAGGTGTTTGACGTCCCGACGGTGTTTGACGGCCATCTGCTTGGGATCCTATAATTAATAAAATAAATCTAAACTCAAGTATACAACTGCTAGACTTCAAGATACTGTAAGCTCATTCTACGTAAATCGAACCAAAAATTTATATTAAAACTGAAGGAAGACGGGCTAACTATGACATCGGGACGTCAAACACCTCAGTCCCCCTGTCGATTCGGTTGGTGTAACAGAAGTTGGACCAAAAACTATCGCATTCTGTTGTGAGGATCATTTTTATGTCAGAAAATTTAATATATTATTGGGTACTTGAAAACTCATAATAATCATGATACCAATATATTACACACCAGTTACTTATATGAGATTAGATTTCACATTTGGTATTACACTGCCATCGACGTGTAAAGTTCCATAAGAGTGCATTCAAAAATAAATATATATAATCATATCAAATCAAATTCAAATTCAAATTTATTTATTTGCCATAAATAGGGTAAATTATACGTTTTTACAATTACAATAAGTTGCTTAAAGACCTATTTTGCCATGAGATACGGCATGCAATTTTTTTTTTAATTGTACAAATAATATAGGTGGTAGTAGATTCTAAAATGTCAACTTATTAAATGTAAATTATACATTATATAATTCAAAATGTCTTAATTTACAATGTAAATGTCATAATTAAAATTTAAATATATTAAATCATTAATTAAAGGTCAGATAAAATAGTAATACGCAGTGATACACAGCAATTTTGTCCATCATATGTCAACATGCATATTATTATCATTTTGAAATTTCTTAACACTATAATAACATTTTTTTATTAGCCATTCACGTAACTTTTTGGTCATGAGAATCATAGAGCCGTGCTTGAACTGCTTTGGAATTTTTAATAAATATTTTTACACACATGCAGTAATAACCTTTCTGAAAGACAGAAGTTTTTGGTTTATGGTCTAAGACAAGCCGTTTACTATCTCTAGTGGTTCGTGGATATATATCACAAGCTGACTTAAATAACTCTCATGTTGTTTGACAAATTTAAATATTACTAATATGTACATGCCAGGGACTGTTTATATACCCAGCTTAATGAATAGGGGCTTGCATGTATCAAATGGACCTTTACCGCATATAGCACGTATACATTTTTTTTTGTCCGATGAAAACTCTATTTACTTCAATGCTGTTGCCCCATAGAGCCAGACCATAATTAATATTAGACGCACAGAACACGGAATAAGACATTAGAACGGCTCCAACGCACTTTTTGTACGAGAACCTGCGTCGGCAGTAGGCGGAACCCTGTTGTCACAACTACATTTGCAAATATAAGTACACGCTCACACATGCATTAAAGACGCCAATCAAATGTGTAAAAGAGCCAACCAAATGACAGGCAAAATCGAGCGAACTAATCCGGCGCGTGTTCACTCACACATGCACACATACATGTAGTGAAGGCGTAAAGACGCGTAAGCAACTAGTGAGTTGAAGTGGCGATTGACAATTTTTTATCGATATCGATAAAAACTTCAAGTTGAGTGTTCGTGTTATGTAGGAATGGATGTAGGGAATGGATACGGTTTGTATTTAGGTAAGTTATAAATAAAAAAATTAAATTACTGTATTAAAATTAATGTTGTAATTATGAAGCAATTTTGATCAAATTTAGTACACAGATAAATTAGATCTTGGGGAAGGTTTTTATTTGGTTGACAAATTTTGTTGAGAGCTCTAAAGTACAAAGGGTTAAAAATCAGACATAAAATAATTCGATGTGATGAATAAGCAAAGATATGCTAAAAAATTAACTTTAAAAGAGAATGTTATTTTTATTGCCCCTGAAATATAATATATTTGTTTAATAGTTGCCGCTTAGTTTCTTTTTGAGTCATAGAGTTTTTCAGAAAGAAGTGAAGTCGAATATTTAGGTATTTCTCTATAACAGCCTTAGTTAAATCGGTTATGTGGTTAGAAAACGGAAATTGTCCCATATCATGAAATCTGATCGTGTCAAACAAAGAGCTCTCAACGAAATTCGTCAATACTTTAACTTCGATTGATTTTTTATTTATGGTTATTGATTTTACCATAATATGTTGCCGTACAACAAGTTCCGTAAATTTACAAATTTTTATTACGTCACTCGAAGGATAGATAAGGCCACCTTTGTCTTTTTTTTTTAATTAATTTGTGGCAAGAGTCAGTTTGACTGCATAAAAGAGCTCCGATACATATGTCGCATTTTATTTTATTTATGAGGGAATGAACAACGTTGCCAGCTATATAACCTAAAACAGAAAAAAATCTGTAACACAGGGATACACTCAAATAAGGACACCTGACTCGTGAAACTAGGGAAATGTGCTATCAGGAGTCAGTGATTATGACAGGAGTAGGCAGTTATAGTACTTGATCTGCCAAGTCGAGCAAAAAAGCGGCACGGCCGTACCATCCTTTTCTCGATTGTATAAACACGGTATATTTCGAATTTCATTCAATTTGAACATCGCACTAAACAATCTAATTTAATATAATATGTACTTGTTAGATACGATGTGTTTTCATGCGATGGCCAAGTCAATCTTTTTATTTAACCGACTTGGTTTTACATGGATCTCACAGTTTTTTACGGTAGAAGAACTGAGTTGCGAAACTTGTTTTTTTTTATAAGCTTTCGTAATATGCAAATTGTAAGATTTACGATCAACTTACTTACTTACTTACTTATCTTCACGCACAATCCCTGACGGGGTAGCCAGAGAGAACAGATCGCCAAGTGTCACGATCCTTACATATCTCTTTCGCTTCTTTCAGATTCATTATCTTCTTCATACATGCACGTCTAGGTATCCGAGTACTCTTGACCCTACCCTCTTCGAGCAATTTGCTCACATGGTCTTCGAAAGTTAGTCTCGGTCTACCTCGACACCTTTTAATATTAACTTTCGCGCTATATATTTTCTTCACCATTCGGTCTTCACTCATTCGCTCAACGTGCCCAAACCACCGAAGCACGCCCTTATCAATTTTTGTGATAAGGTCATCTTTCAAACCTGCCATATTGCGAATCTCTTCGTTTCGCTTTCGGTCGGCCATAGTAACGCCGCACATTTTACGAAGAGATCGCATCTCCACTGCATTCAACTTACTTTTATGCTTCTTCTGGCATACCCAGGTTTCGCTGCCATATAACAAAGTCGGTACCAACACTGCGTTATGTATTGCAAGGCGTGCACTCTTCGCTACGCCTTGCCTTTTGACTAACGCAGTCAGGGCACCATTGACTTTGTTCCCGGCAGCGACACGCCTGTCCACATCTAAATCACATCTTCCATCCCGGCTAAAAGCACTCCCCAAGTATACAATTTCATTTACCTGTTCTAGACATTCCTGATTTACCCATATTTCACACTTCGTTCTCTCTTCGTCCCTTTCAAATACCAGAACCTTAGTTTTATTAGCATTCAAACGGAGACCTTTAATTTCACATTCCTCTTTCATACACGTGACTAATGCCTGCAGTTCTGCCTCTGATGGTGCAATAAGCACTGCATCATCAGCATACAGCAGACAATTTACTTTTATGTCACCCAATTTCACACCCAAACAGCTATCTTTCAGCTTTTGTAAACAGCTGTCGAGATACAGTATGAACAGCCAGGAAGACATGACACAACCCTGTTTTACGCCCGTTTGGACGCTAAACATGGGTGACAGGTCATGCCCTACCCGCACACAGGCTTTACAGTCACAGTAAAGAGACTGCACAGCCCTTAGCAATCGGCCATCCACACCATACCCCGGCAACAGTTCCCACATTTTCTTCCTTACAACCTTATCAAATGCTTTCTCAAGATCCACAAAAGCACAGAAAATCTTCTGGTTAACAGCCAGAAGCTTTTCCGTGATCATACGGAGAGAAAACATTTGATCCGTGCATCCTCTTCCAGGTCTAAATCCGCATTGTGCCTCCCATAGAAATCTTTCCGATTTCTCTTGCATCCTACGTGTCAAAACCTTCGAGTAAACTTTACTTGCTAAACTGGTCAAGCTGATCGCCCGATAGCACCCGCAGTCAAAATGTGAACCTTTACCTTTATATAAAGGCACAATGACTGCGGATCGCCAATCATCCGGGACATCCCCCGTCCGCCAGCACAAATTGCACAGCAGATGAAAGCTGTCCCAGACGCGAGGCCCACCATACTTGACCATTTCAGCAGTAACTCTGTCTAGTCCCGCAGCCTTACCACATTTCAAACTTCGAATCGCACGTTCAATCTCTTTCATACTGATGACCTCAGTGTCATCGAGGTCCGGGTCTGACGTGCCAGTCACGGCGTCATCCCCGGATCCCTCACTAAGATCATCACACGCATACATTTCTCTATAAAATTCGCTCCATCGCTGCATGACGTCCGATTTTTCTGAGAGGACGTCATTAGTTCTCGAAAGCACTTTGTTCATTCTTAAGGCCGTCGCACCACTTCGGGTCCTTCCAACCTCTTTCCAGAAGAGTTTGGAGTTCTCCTTAAAGTTGTGCGACAACCTTTCATCCGCTTCCATTCTACACCTTTCACGCACTTCCTCAATCAATGCTTTCGTGTGAACTTTCTGCAGCTTATATCTTTCTTTCATCTTCTCTCTCATATCCTTATCATTACTAGAGGCCAAGTAGTCTAACCATGCTTTCTTCTTCTTCTTTACAGCTTCTTTCACTTCATCATTCCACCATGCATCTCTTCTTTTACTACTGCCTCTTTTTATTGTTCCACACACTTCTTCCGCTGCACTTACCATTCCATCCCTAAGGTTCTGCCATGTTCTTTCTACACATTCGTTTCTGCCATCGATGGTGTCAAGCTTTTCGGCTACCCTCGCATGATATTTGTCCCTAGTATCCGCTTCCTGAAGCTTCCAGCTTCGGATGCGACAGACCGACTGTGGTTCTGTCACTGTCGTCCGGTAGCGCCAACCCGCGAACAGACCCCTAAATCTAGTAATCACTAGATAGTGATCCGTTCCCAGGTCAGCACCCCTGAACACTCGCGTATCCATAACCTGTTTTCGCAGTCGGTCATCCACCAGGAACAAATCGATCATACTTCTCTCATTCTTTCTTTTTCTAGTATACATATGGATTTTCTTGTGATTAAACATAGTGTTTGTCACAAGAAGACCCTTTTCTTTGCATACCGCCAGTATAAGCTTGCCAGCATCATTAACCCTTTTATCGCCAAACTTTCCAAGTACCGACTCGTACCCTGGTCGAGCGGTACCAACCCATCCATTCAAATCACCACATACAACAATCCTTTCGTTTCCCCTAGCCAAATCTAGAACTTCTCTTACATTCTCCCAAAACTCCTCCAGCTCAGCCCTGGACGACGAAGCCACCGGCGCATAAACAGCCAAAAGGAATAACTTCGTCAGTCCCAATTTAAAGCGAACCCAGAGAAGTCTTGAGTTCACAAACTTATATTCAGTCATAACATCGACCAACCGAGAAGACAGCAGCACCCCCACTCCCTGGCAGGCGTTCTCGCTCTCCGGGACTCCGGACCATAGAGCTAACGCCCCGCCAGGGAGCTCTTCAGTACCACTGCCCTTCCGTTTGGTCTCCGACATACACACGACATCTAATTCTCTTTCTTTCATTATTTCGATCAACTCATTCGTCTTATCTCTCATGCCTCCTCTAACATTCCACGTGCCAACTCTGCACTCCGTCCTCCACCTTCCGCCGTGTCGGGCTGTGCGTGACGGGTGGCGGTCCCCATCGCCGCTTTGCGCGCTGCATTCCACACCAACGGGGACGAGCTGGTGTGCGTCGCCTTGGGGGGACGCCCTAACCCTCGTTGACATGGGTGCGCAGCTGAGTAGAATTGCAGCCCTCAAAAGGGCTGGCAGGGGTCGCGACGAGCACGCTTCTACAATGACCCCCATTCATTTTTCAAGTTTTGATTTACGATCAAAACTTGAAAAATGATGTGTGAAAAAAATTACCTATAACTTGCATACTGAAATCTGTCAAATAATAATGATCCAGCATTTCTTCTTGGAATTCATTGTCTGATTCGTCGTCGCAAGCTTTTTCTGTTGACGGCGTGGTCAAATTAATCCGGTCAACAGCTGAGCAGGTTAAAATAGATAACTGTTCAAGCGCATTACAGTTGCCACTGCCGAAATCCTTGAGTTCTATGTGAACTAATAGTTTTTTATATGCTGCTTTAAACTGCCTGGCTGTCGGATTGTTATTAGATCCACCATGAGATCTAATATTGCCAAAAAGTAATTCTAGATGGTCCTGGCTTGTTTTATAAAAAGGAAAAAAGACCAATTCTCCAGTTTGAACAAGAGTCTCATAAAAGTGTCTGACAGCTACAGCGCAGCCGATAAACCCTTTGAAACCTACTTCCTTTGGCTTTCAATCAAAAGTGGGCCATTGTCACACTTTAAATTAGATATATAGCCAGCAACTTTATCTATATGTTCTAAAATTTCTTTAGCATTATTTTCATTAATAGGTTTTATAACCGTGTTGTGACATGCTTTTTGAATTAAGTATATCAAAAAAATTATTTATTGTTTTTAAGAAAACTGTTGTTGGTAAACTTTCACGAAAAATTGGTAAATTTAGTTCTTCTCTGCAAAAATCTATGGCATCACATACGCTTAAACTAAATAATTGGGTGGCAAGTTTAACTTTCATCTTTTGATTGTGATAGTGTATATGCCGATATCTCAACTTGTTCGCCAAATGAAATTTTTCCTTTTCTTGGAGCTTGTTTAGTTCCTCAAGGTAGGACCACTTTATTTTTTTGCCATTCTCGTCAACAAACACTTGGTAGACCTGTAATATTATCAAATAACACACGTGTATATGACAAATTGCCGAAAACTGAAATCAATTTTCGTGAAACGTCACAATTTAAAAAACCGTAAAAACCATTGCATGATCCTGGTGCAATATGTGTCTCCAATCTAAAGAGATAAATTGTGTTGCGCAGATCCTTAATGAATTGGGATAAGGACAGGGAGAAGAAGATATATATCAATATTTCCACGCAAATCACGTCGTGAGCAAAAATTAGTTAAAATTAATTACATAAGTCATAGCAAACCTGAAATGTGTTGCGTATTAGCTTAACCATGTGAGATGGATCTAAAAGTGCCATAATTGGATATTTTGTGACCGGATCTTCAAATTTCATTTTTCCCTCTTCAAAGTTACATCCCAGGTGTTTCAACATAGCTATGTTAGAGGCACAGCCATCAAAAGTTAGAGAAACAATTTTTACTCGCGTTTCATGTATTTTTTCTAGACATTGTTTTACTAGTTCAGCTCGTTGAACTCCAGTCATTCCGTCAATCAAAAAATAACCCATAGACACCTTAAAATTACAGTTAATGCCAGTCACTAAAAAAACTAATGCCTCCTTTGCTTCCGTTATATGGTCACCTTCTATTCCGCTACCGATCTCAACATGCCCGTGCAGTTTTACTCCGTCCCATTCTATACGACGTCTTATTGCCATTTCATCTATCATTAGACCAGCTATGATTGGATATTTTATTGAATTTGACTTTGCCTTAAGGGCTTTGAAGGATTCATCTGTGAAGCCTGGTTCTCCTTTTACACTTTTGTACCATTTTCGTAAAGTACGCACATGAGGCAAGCATGTTTTAAATGTATCTCTTACGTAATTATACGCTTTGGGCGAATAGTAATGTAAGGTAAGTGCAAATGTTCGGAGAGCTGGGGAATAACGCTGTTTTGTAATTCCACCGGACTTTTCTTTTGATATGTACCGACCAATCAATTCTTCCACCTACAAAATAAAATAAAAATTGTTTACCTAATTCATTCAAAAAATATATTGAGATGTAAAAACCGAAGGAATCTCGTAACCTACATACAAAAAATTAAATAATAATAAAAATTCGGTTTAAAGAGTAACCTATTACCTGTAAATTTGTGCCTCTCAATGCACTTAACTGTTCTTCTTTCAGTGAAAACTTCTTTTCTAAGTCATTCATTATATCTGCCATTTTATGTATTTTTTTCTTTAATCGTCGATTTTGTGCTTGTATTCTTTTAATCCGATTTCTTTGGTGTTTTATGATATTTTCTTTAGAAGATATTATTCGTGTTAATCTTCTTTTTCTCGGCGTTGACGCATTGGAGTCAATGAAGGAAGGAACACTGGACTGAAGTTTTTTTTACATAGTCCGTTGTTACCTGTATTGCTATACTAGAACACTCCTCCATTACTGAAGAATTAGTCGGTACTGAATCCATATCATTAATTGGTTGATTAACACTCTCTTCCATTAATACTGTTGAAGAGTTTAACGGTACTGGATCTACATCCCTTATTGTTTGACTAGCACTCTCTTCCATTACCGTTACCGTTGAAAAAGTTGTCAATATTGGATCTACAATTTCCTAAAATAAAACAAGATAATAAGATCTACAGTGCTGTATATTAACCTAAAATAATAGTTTAACCACGAAAGATAAACGAAGTTTGTTGATTGGTAACAGCAATAAAAGTGAAACTCAGCAAAATAATGTGTTAGTTAGGTACCATCTATAACTAACCCGAACTTTAGCACGTTTGTTTATTATTTCATTGCCTTATGTTCTTCTGAGTACGTTTTCGTGGTGACAAAGTAGAATCTTTTGTATCATTAACCTAAAAAATATCGTCAACAATATGTGAACATATTTACAGTTATGAACAAAATATGTTTATAAAGTAGTATAGACATACAATATACACAATTTGTACATGTGGTACTGCACCGTTTTTTAAATATCTCTTCTTAGAATTTTTGACCTCGAAGTCATCTTCATTAAAGTGTTGTGAACAAATGGTACTTGATTTAGTCGGAATCCAATCTTTACGACCAGTAATTTCGATCCACTGTTTCCGTATATCTGGCTTTTTAGGAAAACTGAAATGTTATAGGAAACAAAATGCCTTATATGTATATACTTAAGGTAAATGTGTTTAATATAAATGATACGAGGTAAAATACATAGCACTTAGTTAGAATATTAAATAAAAAAAAGCGATAGCAAAAGTCTCAGGTAGTGAATTTCAATAAAGAAAATGTATGGAAAATCAAGCACTTCGTTGGAAAAGGCTATGCAGAGTTTTGTATGGTGACGTCTTTTTTTTTCGCGCGGCCATCAACCATATCTTGTTATTTGGGTTTAGAATAGTGTAAAAAACTTAGTACAACATGTATATATCTAAACCAAACCTTGTTATTTGGATTCAGAATAGTGTAAAAAGAAAAACTTAGTATGACACCAATATAGCTAAACTCAGTCTGGGCCGAGCTATGAAGGTGTAAAGTTTCAAAGTTTTTAATCTTCATAACTCGGTCCGGACTGAATTTAGCAATTTAGTCGTACAAAGTTTTTTGGTTAACACTATTCTGAGCCCAAATAACACGGTTTGGTTATTGGCCGCGCGAAATAAAAATCACCACCTTCGTGTAACTTTAACCTTCATAGCTCATTTCGGATTGAGTTTAGCTAAATTGTGTTATACTGTTTTTCTTTTATCATTTTTCTGAACCCAACTAACAAGTTTTGGTTGATCGCCGCGCGAATGAAAAGAGACGGTGGCGTCTCTTCAAGTAGGTGGCTTCTTGAACTTTGAAAACTTTGAACCTTCAGCTCGGCTCGGACTGAGTTTAGCTATATACTTGTCATACAAAGTTGTTCTTTTTACACTGTTCTGAATCTAAATAACAAGGTTTGGTTGATGGCCGCGTGAAATAAAAATGACGCCACTTTCCGGCATTCCCTTTTACCTAAGAATCCGAATCGATAAAGATATCGATAAAATGCTTAGCGTAATGATCAATGCCATTAATAATTATTTTTATAAAAAAATATAATGAAGATTACTACCCAAAATAAATTGAAACTTATCGATAAATTGCTACAGAGTGCGTGCCGCTTCACTAGAATCATGTGTCACCTTTACATTGTGTGCTTAAAACGACACTATAAAAATGGTATGCGTACTTTGCCAGCAATGTATATTTTTTAGAATTTTAATAACATTTTACAGATTTTTACTTAAAAACCGTAAATTTGAGAAGTTTTTTACTTACCGATGAAAAGAAATTCCTCCTTTGGCTACACTCGACACTTCACTCCTTGCTTTGCAACTAATAACAGCACAAGTAGGCATTTTTCGTCAAAATTAGTCGCCGCGTTTCACTTGCGCACAGTGAGATCGTTCGTGAGTGACTTATGAGCGCGATCACGTATCTCGGGATTTATATGACCGTTTGGGCAAATCAGTGGCACGCGTGCCCCACCCACAACGCCATTCTAAGTTTTTCTGTTTTCTATGATTAGACGCGACGTAACCATAATAAGCAGACATGGTTACGCTGTAGAGTCTTTATCTTAATTAAACGTCTTAAGACGAAAGCAAACCTATTTATTTTATTACAAACTTTGTCAATGTGGCCAGTGAAATCTAATTTCTCGTCAAGTACTACACCCAAAAATGAAACCATGGTAGTCCTTTCAATAGTTATATTTTTGTACAGCACATTAAGATTATTTACTGCTAGTCCTTTTATGTTAAAATTTATGAAATTGATCTTATTCAGATTTACATTCAGATTAATTGATTTAAGATATTGAACTATATTATTAATTGTGTTATTAATGTCATTTTCATAACAAATTAAATTGTTATTATAATTCAATTAAACAATAATGGAAATATCATCAGCAAACATTATGCATTGATGTTTAGTCACTCTCGATAAGTCATTTATATATAATAAAAATAATACAGGACCTAGAACGCTAACCTGTGGTACTCTAAACTTATTTATTTTTTAATTAGACGATCGGATTTAGTTGTATTTCTCTTGCTTATCCTATTTATTTCTACGCACTGGTGTCTATTTTCTAGATATGTTTTAAGCCAAGAGTGAGAAAGACCTCTGATCCCATACTTTTCCAGTTTATCTAACAGGACACTATGTACTACAAAATTGAACGCCTTAAACATATCGAAGAAAAGTACAGTAGTACGCTGTTTATCATCGAGTCCAAGAATAACGTTATGTATTAGATTAAAAGACGTGACGGTAGTTGATGTTCCCTTTTGGAACCCAGTTTTTGCATGGGCTTTTCAAATTCCTTGGATAACACCGGTATTAATGTAACTGGGCGATAGTTACCGATTTCCGATTTATTGTGTTTGAGTTATTGTGTTCAGCTATTTTTGTCCCATTTGTTATTATACTATTTTCGTGGTTACTTGCAGTTACTATCATAGTGACTGCAAGTAACCACGAAACTTTAGAAGATTATCATTGCAATAGTCTCTCTTGTGTAAAAACCAGTATTGTAGAGTATCGAGTATTTTCGATTGAGAATGAAAATATTTGGGCAGTATTGTGCAATTGTGATCGGGTAGATGAAGCGGCATTGTCACGCCCGTAGCTTGTTTAATATTACTTAAAATGTCGTCTATACAGTTATTTCCTCTAGTAGGTTTATTTATATGAATTTTTAAATTAAATTAAATTAAAGTAATGTCTTTTAATTGTTGCGATGCTCTAGATTCCACTAATGTATTTATATTAAAATCTCCAGTGATAATAATTTTATAATGTGTAAATTTCTTTACCAGTTCATGGGTCACCCCTACCAGCCTCATTAAAAATGAGTGAGCAAATCTATTGTAAGAGGTGTTAACACGTAATACCATTACTTTGTATTTAGGGATGCTTATCCCGCAGCACTCAAACACTTTTCGTAATAGGTACTTGTTAAAAATCTTGAGTTTGTTGAAAGTAAGGCCCTTTGGCAGAAAGATGCAGGTACCACCTCGTTTATTATTCCTAGAATAGCTTGCTGCTTGTTTTTAATTTGAGAGAGCAGAATTTTTCTCCTCGCCTTTTTTTTAAATGATTCTTAGAAGCATATTACATCAGGTTCTGAATCACAGTCTTTCAGTTCAGAAAGCGTCACTTCTAAAAGGTCCTTTTTTGATGCAAAACCTTAACACGGTTTTTATTTAGATCTTTAACAGATTGATTGGAGGATGTTTTTAGGTTACTGTGTGGAACAAAAAAGATAATTTTGACGTAAGGGAAAGAAAAAGTCTAATATGGAAGTCTGCTTGTATCTATATCCACAATTTGTCAGTTTTTGTTGTGATTTCTTTAATATTTTTCCGTTACATCCACTCCTATGAACATGGTTCTTGATAAAAGAATAGTTTAGAAATATTTTTTCGTAATACAAAGAATCAATAACCATGTTAATACTATGACAGACATTCTTTAAATAACAATGATAATATTTTTTCGTTTCAATAAAGTGACTATTTTAAACTTTTCACATATTAATTTTAGATGCATGTTTAATGAATTATTATTTATATGCTTACTACTAGTTACATTCATTATAATAATGGTGGCATGCTTTAGTAATTTCAATGCAGCATATAATTCCGCTATGGTTGTCACCGGATCATCATACATTTTCTCCTACACATAAAATTACCTTATCGTATGTGTCTACCTTTAAGTTTGTACATAGCTTTAGAACTTCTTCCGTAGATGCAAATGGCTTGATGAAGGCTGTTGTTTGGTAGCCCTCGTATCTGCTATTCATTCTTGATTTAGTCAGTTCAGTCGCGAGACCAGTACACTATTGCGTCCCCATAATGAGGATATTCTGTTTGGTGAATGCATTATTTTCTTCATTGTATTCAGTTTTATCGCAAGATGTAAGCTTTTCTTTATCCCTTTGAGAAGTAAGCTTAATGCTAAATTCTTGTATTTGACTCTCTAGCTCGGTAATCTCTTTTTTGGCATTCAACAATTGTTCTTGCTATTCTTTTATTATGTTTTGTAAGGAAATTATCAAGTTGTTAAATTTTTTATCACATTTATTTGAAGTGCCGTGTAGTGGCGGTCAAGAATATCCACTACCCCATATCCTCCCGTGGGTGTCGTAAAAGGCGACAAAGGGAAACAGGCAGGAGATGGGCAGCAGCATCTTCTTGATAACAACAAACTAACAAAAAAAACTGCGGTTGCCAACCCGCTCGCCAAGCGTGGCAACTATGGCAAATACCCCCCTATAAATGACAGTAACAAAGAAACGGCCTCCAGTCCCTGGCGCCCCGCTATTCCTGGCTACAGTGGCGACCATGGTAACGGCGGGGCAGGGGGTGCTAAGAACCTCCGGTGGAGGTTCGGTTGCCACCTTAGATGACTCGACCTGGCAACGTACAACGCACGCACTCTGAGGACTGACGAGAAGATCGTGGAGCTGGAAGAAGAGATAGACAAGTTGCGCTGGCATATTATAGGATTATCCGAAGTCCGAAGAGAGGGGGAGGACACAGTAATCCTCGAATCCGGCAACTTGCTCTATCACCAGGAGGGCGAAGTCCCAAGGAGGTGTCGGATTTATCGTCCACAAGTCTCTCGTTAACAACGTTGTAAAGATTGAGAGTGTGTCGACGAGGGTTGCGTACCTTATACTCAGAATCACATAACGGTATTCGCTGAAGGTCATACAGGTTTACGCACCAACCTCGGCACACCCCGATGAGGAGGTGGAGGAAATGTATGAGGATATCTCTAGAGCCATGCATTCCTCCAAAACCCAATATACGGTGTTAATGGGAGACTTCAATGCAAAACTAGGCACAAGAGAGAACGGTGAGCTGAAAGAAGGGAGATTCGGAATAGGGCAACGGAACCCAAGGGGCCAGCAGCTGGCCGACTTCATGGAGAAAGAGGGACTCTTTATGAACTCTTTCTTCCAGAAGCGGCCCCACAGGAAGTGGACCTGATCGAGCCCCGACGGTTCGACAAAAAATGAGATTGACTTCATTATGACGACCAGACGACAACTGTTCAGTGATGTCTCCGTGATCGCGAGGGTGAAAACTGGTAGCGATCACCGAATGGTTAGAGGCACACTGAACCTAAACGTTCGTTAAGTTGAAGAGGTCTCGTCTAATGAAGTCAACGCTCCGTCCCCCTCGTGCTTTGTTCCAAAGTCCCGAAACCTTTCAGCTCGAGTTACACAACCGTTTTCAGTGCCTAGTAGACCGCAATGAAGTGGACGATATAAATGACAAGCTCGTGGAAACTGTCCATGCGGTTGGAGCTAAGTTCTGCAAGACCCGCCGCAGAAGAACATAAAAACTCTCCGATCACACTCTTAATCTCATGGCTGTAATACGGGAGATGAAGCTACATTCTTCAACAGACTTGACAGCATACAGGCATCTGAATAGACAGATCTCCAAATGCATGCGGCGGGACTTACTAAACTTCAATACAGCTCGTATTGAAGAAGCGATGGAGCGGAACCAAGGCTCCAAAGTCTTTGCCAGAGATCTGTCTGCCAGAAAGAGCCAACTGTCAAAGCTGAAGATAGAATGTGGCAGCATCGTTTCCGGGACACCTGAGATTTTGAGTGAGATTGAGAGGTTCTATGGGCAGTTGTACACGTCATCGTTGTAGCCACACGCAAGTGTAAGTGACGATCCAAGAGCGAGTCTCATCCGACACTATTTCGAAGATATCCCGGACGTCAGTCTGAGCGAGATTAGAATGGCTCTCCAGCACCTTAAAAACGGTAGGGCTCCAGGCGAAGATGAAATTACAGCGGAGCTTCTGAAAGCGGGTGGAAAACCGGTACTTGATGTCCTTCAGAAGCTCTTTAATTCCGTCCTCCATGGTGGCATTACACCGGAGGCGTGGAGCAGCAGTGCGGTGGTCTTGTTCTTCAAGAAAGGTGACAACGCTCTCTTGAAGAACTACAGACCGATTTCACTTCTGAGCCGCGTCTACGTGCTGTTTTCGAGAGTCATTACGAATCGTCTCGCGCGCAGACTTGACGACTTCCAGCCTCCCGAACAAGCCGGTTTCCGAAAGGGCTTTAGCACCATAGACCACATACATACCCTTCGGCAAATTGTACAGAAGTCCGAAGAGTACAATTTGCCACTATGTCTGGCGTATGTGGACTATGAGAAAGCCTTTGATTCCGTCGAAATTTGGGCGGTGCTGCAGTCCCTTCAGCGGTGCCAAGTTGACTGCCGGTATATTGAAGTGTTGAAGTGCTTGTACAGTAGGGCTACGATGGCTATCCGAGTACAGAACCAGAGTACGAAACCTATCCAATTGCAGAGAG